GAGCCTGATGCGGGGCTCGATCCCAGGACCCTGGGATCATGACCTGAGCTGAAGGCAGACGCTTAACCGACTGAGCCACCCAGGTGCCCCGAGGGGAGGTTTTTTTTAAACTGTTCCTTCAGAAGTTTGAATAGACTCCTTCCTAATTAAAAGGCATTCAATCATTTCACTATGCTGGAAATAGGAGGGGCTCGTAGTACACCTCCCACAGAAAAGATCTTCCAAATGAAGGGGTAGCTCAGCACTTCTGAGCACCCCTTTCCCCCTCTTCAGTCCCTTCAGAGCTCAGGGCAGCAGCTCAGCTCATTCATTCATTCCAGGCCGGGGCCTGGGCACACTATCTCAGCCCGGGCCTCATGGGGGTTACAGTCCGGTAGGCAGCCCAGTGTCAGCATCGGGCTGCCAAGAGCAGCTGACGGGGAGTCGCTCTTCCTCTACCTTCTCTGCCTCCTCGGCCGGCCTGGTCCTCTCAGTCAGGCTGCTCTGCCCAAGGGGCTGTGAGGACCCCCGTGTCCTCCGCAGGATGCACACTGCTCCCCAGCCTCCGGGTGATCAGGTCTAGGAAGCCCCAGGCCTGCTCCCGCCCGGGCACGTGCGTCTGCGTGCCTATGGCTTCTTTCACTTTCCAGATGGTTATTAAAGGTCACTGATGTCTCCCTGGGATGCCCAACAACAGGGATCACGTCCTCTCCTTGGCCAGGATGAGGAGGGTCCCAACAGCCTCAGGCTGGGCAGGAGGAGCCTTGCCAAGCCCGCTCTCGCCCCCGGCTGCTCTTTGGCTCCCACCCCACCTCCCAGGCCAGCTGTTTGAGAACAGCTCTGGCTTCTCCAGAACACAGATCACAGACTCGAATTACTCAACTCCTCGTGCCTCAGTTTCTCTGAGGGCTTAAAAAAACTCTCATAGCATTGTGGTACGGGACACATGAGGGAGGCAAGTGCATAGAAATGTCAGTTGTGATAATAATTATCATTGCCATTATTCTATTCAGCTGAATCCTGCATTCACAGTCAGGAAGGATTGCTGAGCCTCCCTATCTGCTGTTATCGAAATGGGGGTGTGGGGAAATCCCCCTACAAGACTTTTCTCACCTCGCCCCTCCCTGTCCCTTCCTGACTCTTCGGGTTTAAGACAAGGACAAGGACCTCCTTCTCTTCTCTCCCAGGGCTCCTCCGCCACCCCGGGAAAGCTCTCTTTTCAGCTGCCTTTCTCTGTCCGTCTCCTGCTATTCACCCCACTCCTCCCCTCTCCCTCATCCCCCACAGACTGAGCAAGGGAGCAGCCCTCACTCCCTCCCGCATCATTCACTGCAAACACATAGCACTCCCGTCCTGTGCTGGCCCTGCTATGGGCCCCGAGGAGACAGCAGCGAAGCCAACCCTGGGCTCACACCGCACCACACCTGCCGCGGGGCAGGACTGCAGGGGAAGGAGGCCGGCCGAAAGGCAGGTGCACCGGGCGTTCATTGGCAAGTCCTGTATGGATCACGCAGTGTGTCAGGCAGTGTGGGCAGAGGACCTCTTAAGTGCTGGATCAAATATTTCCTGCGCATGAATATATGTACGTGTGGAAGATAGCTAAGTGATCTCTGAACAAAATGCATGAGAAGCTAGGAATGGTGCCCCCCGGGAAGGAGACTTTTTTTACATCCTTTTGAACTGTTACTGTGCCAATGTATTTGCAATATACATTGAATATTCAGTATTCGATAATTTCAATAGAGACTTAAATAAAATGTATATTCTGTGCATCCCCTTACCCTCTCCTTATTAATCTTTTCCCTCAACCCTCAGCATCCATGATAAATGACACCTATTGGTTATTCTATTGTATTGGGTCCTTTTTCTGCCTTCTAAAAAAATGTATTTTTATCTCCGACTGCTCTTCTTTGCAGACACGCAGAGTTTCAGCCACCCTTCCTGTTAAATGGCCCACATGCTCCCCCAGGATAGTGGTTCAGGTGATAAATTCTGGAGGCAGAAAGGCCTGGCCTCAACCCCAGCTTTGCCTCTCATGGCCGCTCAACCTTGCTTAGCCACCCCTTCCAAGCCTCGCTCTCTGGTGCCTACGCGGGGGGAGCAGCTCTCGCCTCCTAAAGCCCGAGCTGTTCTGATGACCGAGCCCAGTTGGGGCACTGAGCCTGGGGTCTGCACTTGCAGGACAGCGACTACGAACACCCAGACGAACACTCGGACTCAGAGATGTACGTGCTACCTGCCGAGGAGACTGGCGACGACAGTTATGAGCCGCCGCCTGCCGAGCAGGAGACAAGAACAGTTCACCCAGCCCTGCCCTTCGCCAGGGGCGAGTATATAGGTGAGGCAGCCCCCCCCCCCAGGCCCTGGGTGCTCAGCCTGCCAGGCAGGGGAAGGCGGGCAAGCCGGGCTGGTAGGATGATGGGCACCTCCCACTCCCACCACCTCCACATGGGTCATCTGGTCACTCAGAAACCACAGGGCCCCAAATGGACAACTTGCCCATTCGAGGGGGAAAGGTACTCTTCCTAAATTACCAATGCTGAAAAGAGGTAAAAGATAAAAGGAGCAAACCCTGATGGTTGCTCCCACCCCTACCCCACCCCAACTCCAGATAGTCCCATGAGAAATCAACCCTGAGGTCAGTCCCCACTTCTTTTTGGTCTTCCTGCACACAAGGCTCTGGAATTTCTCTTGAGATGTCTGTACAGAACAAGGATGATCTTCAAGCATCCCAGTATCTGCTAACGCCCCTCCCTCCTTCATGCCCACCCCCTCGCAGGCAGGTCACACTCTGAGTCTAGACTGTGGATTTTCAGCTGGGGAGCCCGTGGGTTACCCCTTGTTGGGGACTGTGTTGGTGAGGGTGAGGGTGAGGAGTCTTAGTCTGCTCTAAGTCTGGAGTTAGCTGTAGGTTAAATGGGCACAGCTCAGATGTAGCCTCCAGGCCTGATGTGGTTTTTAGTGTCTCCCAAAAAGAAGCCTGTGTTCCAGGTGACTAAGTTCAGCAGAGGTGGGGCGGAGGGAGCGTGTTGGTGATGATCACGTGATGCTAACATTTGTGCAGTGTCCCTACGTGTAAAAGGCTCCCTGTCCATTGTCATTGCCATTAACTGCCTCCTCACAGGGCGCCGGGCATAGCCCCTTGCTTCGTGCCACAATTAACCTACTGGGCACCTACTGTGTTCCAGAGCTATGCTGAGCCCTGAGCATTCAGCAGCAAGCAAGACAGACATACTGCCAGAGTTTTTATAGTTAACAGTGTAGTGCTTTTCAGTCGTGGCCTACTTCACCCTCTCAAGAATCTTATGGAAGAGGGGCGCCTGGGTGGCTCAGTCGTTAAGCGTCTGCCTTCGGCTCAGGTCATGATCCCAGGGTCCTGGGATCGAGCCCCGCATCGGGCTCCCTGCTCCACGGGGAGCCTGCTTCTCCCTCTCCCTCTCCCCCTGCTTGTGTTCCCTCTCTCGCTGTGTCTCTCTCTGTCAAATAAATAAATAAAATCTTCAAAAAGAAAAAAAAAAGAAGCTTATGGAAGAGATATTCATCCTCACTTTACAAAGGAAGAAAGTGAGGTTCAGAGGAGTGAACTAACAGGGCCCAGCTCTTGTAAGTGGCAGGGCTAGGATGCATGCTGGGCTTCTCAGCCCTCAAAGCCCATGCTCTTCACCGCTCTGCTTCGCACACCGCCCACCAGATTTGTGACCTTGTTCAAGCATCACAGCCCTAAGAAGGAAGAGGCTGCAGTGGGCCCATTTTATAGGTTAGGAAACTACCATTCAGGGTGGTGTAGCAGCTCATTCAAGGCCATGCTCTTCAAAGCCTGTCTTCTGTGTTTTGCTACTTCTGATGGGCTTCGGTCTTACATTAAGAAATCCCAGTAAACTCCAAGAGCTGCAAATAAAACTAGAAATCCTTAACAGAGTTATCAGCACAGCAAAGCAGATGCCCTAGAGCCTGAGCACAACTCCACCACCCAGAAGGAGGCTTCCGAGGAGGCCTCCAGCATGAAGTGAACCACACACCTTCAACAAGGCAGGAGCCATCACCAGGGGGAGAGCAGGTGGGGGCGTGGCGGGGGGGGGCAGTGGCAAGAAGCTAAGGGTGCACGGTGGGGGGCGGGGCACAAGCCAGTGTGAGCCCCTGGGCTGTTCCCAGGATGGGACACGCCAGGTTACTCCTATGCTGAGATTTTCCTACAATGTGTCAGTCTGAATCCGTGCTCAGATTCCACTGTGCAGACTCCCTGTTGTCTAGCCCCTGCACCATGTCACGTCCGTATATTAGTCCTGTTTATTAGGCATCCACTCTTCCAGACACACTGCTCCCACTGTTTTCTTCCTAAGCCCTACAAAACCCTTTTAAGGTGGATCTTATGATCCTCACTTTAAAAATGAGGAATGTGTTGGGGCGCCTGGGTGGTTCAGTTGGTTAAGCGTCTGCCTTCGGCTCAGGTCATGATCCCAGGATCCTGGGATCAAGCCCCGCATCGGGCTCCCTGCTCAGTGGGGAGCCTGCTTCTCCCTCTCCCACTCCCCCTGCTTGTGTTCCCTCTCTCACTCTCTGTCAAATAAATAAATAAAATCTTAAAAAAAAAAAAAGTTCCCCGGGGGGGTTCTTATGTGAAAGCAGGATTGAGAATCACTGCCCTTAAGTGTTCATAGCGCACAGTGAACCTTCGAGGAGCACACCCCTTTTAGGCCTCTCTGCTGCCAAGGGCATCCATCCACTCTGTTTGGCAGAGCGCTGGGCTGATTCCCCTATCCTTATACTCCTTTGCTTATCTGCTCCATCTGCCTTGCTCTCCAGAGTCCCTGGATCTCCATCACTCCCCTGGGAGGATGTTTTTGATGACATTCTTTTGGTTTTTATAATGTAAGTCAATGGGCAGTTGATTTTTTGCCCAAATGTCATTTTACTCTTTTAAGGAATGCCCGGATTAATCATTTGTGATACTTCGGCTCAGGGAATGATCCAGAGCCCCTTTCATCTTACACTTTGTTGTTCCTTTCAAGACAATCGGTCAAGCCAGAGGCAGTCTCCGCCCTTCAGCAAGACACTTCCTAGTAGGCCCGACTGGCCTTCGGCAAAAGCAAAAGCCAGGCTGACCTCCACTCTGCCGACCCTGACTTCTCTTCAGAAACCTCAAGTCCCACCCAAACCCAAAGAACTGGAGGATGAGGTAACGTAAATCTGTCCCAAAGGCTTCCCAGTCCAAGTGGAAAGCAGGATGCAGGGGGGAAGGGGAAGGAGGGTGGGGAAAGGGGGAGGGGAGAAGGGGGCAGGGGCTGGGATGGTCTGGCCTCCTCCTCCGTGCCCCTCTCTCCCAGGCAGCACTAACCACCCACCCCTCTAACTCCCCACTGGCAAACCAAAAGGAGGTTTTCCTCTCAAAAAGGGTATATGTGGCCTTCTTTTAAGCCTTTTCATTTCCAGAGCGCATGGGTAATACCAGCACTGGATCTGTGGACCCTCTTTTTAGCCTCCAGATCTCTCTCCTTGGTTTCCTGTGAAACTTCTCCTTCCTCCGAAGAGATTTCCCAATCCTTATACTCCTTTGCTTATCTGCTCCATCTGCCTTGCTTTCTTTCCTCCCCCTTTTCTCTCCACTTCTCCACATTTCTCCTGTGAGACGCAGAGGTGTGCGGTGGGACACAAAGGGAGACCCCTAGTGGTAGGGAGGCCTCTGCACAGCCTGTGGAGAAGGCGGCACCTCACTTCCCTTTTTGGCACCTCTTGCTTCTCACTCCCTTTTCCCTCAGCCCCTGCTATCCAGGGACCCACCTTGACAGACTGTCCGGGGCTCCACTCTGGGTTTATCTCATCATCTCCCGTCTGTCAGCACCCAGGTTTTATGAGTCTCATTCCCTATGGAATAGCTCCTGTTTGAAAAGGTGCTGATAAACTCATTCAGACTGTTGTAGGAATGACTAATAAGGCCTAATACCTAATACCTCCCAGAGGTACTTGTATTTTAAATAAGGACAAAGGCAAGCCCTCAAACTTAGCCATTAGAACAACCCTACAAGTATAACGGTCTCAGAAGCAAAATAACAATAAAGGCAACTCTTAACCATCCCTGGACATAATCTTACAGCAGCTTTTGAAGAAATAACTTGTGTGTGGGGGGGGGGTTTGTTTTTTTTTTTAAGATTTTGTTTATCTGTGTGAGAGAGAGAGCACGAGCAGGGGAGGGAGGGGCAGAGGGAGAGGGAGAAGCAGACTCTCCGCTGAGCAGGGAGCCTGACGTGAGGCTCTATCCCAGGACCCCGAGATCATGACCTAAGCTGAAGGTAGACTCTTAACCCACTGAACCACCCAGGTGCCCCAGAAATAACTATTTCTAAATGCCAAAGGTGATAAAACCTAACATGTACAAACATGTTGTAAAACGACCCACATTTCCACCTTAATATAATTTGTAGCCCAGCAGGAGATGGAAAAGAGAAACTTTTCAATAAGATAGAGGCAGCATTTAGGCCCAAAGTCCTGCTTTGACCCTTACTAGCTCTGTGACTTTGGGCAAACCAGATAACCTCTCTGAGCCTCAGTTTTTAATCTCTTCAGGTTATTTTTAAGAATTTAGTAAGAGAACACATATACAGCACTAAATACAGTGCTTCTCACATGGAAGGATTCCATGTGTCATATGTTCCTTTCTAGCATATTCTCGATTCTTTACAAAACCCCATTTTGTAGTTTCTCCTGAAAACAGTCACAGCCTCAAAGCAGCCGAGCCTCACGGCAACCCTCCAGCTCAGCTCTGAGTCCCTGACCCTTGTCTGCGCTGGTCATAGTCCCCACCACTCTTATGAGGTGTGCGCACAGCCTTCTTCTGCACTCGTCCCCATGGCTGTTCCCTGCCTGCCTCTGTAAGCTTTTCCGTTTATAACCTCTACTGTAGCGCTAGTTTAAGTCAGAAAGTCCGCTGACAGAGAAAGGATGGTTGGCCAGTCGTCTGTCTGTCTGTCTGTCTGTCTGAGAGGCGGTGCTGACCTTTTGGGGTGAGAAGGGGCTGGCAGGAAGAAGCTGAGCAGGAGACAGGACGCGGAGACTGGCTGTTAGGAGCTCACTGTGAATTCTTTCAGCACTTGGCAAATCTATATGAAGATACAAATTCAGACCCAGAATACAAATGAATACGGTGCGTTATATAAGGCTCTCCATTTCTGTGAGTAGCTGAGAGTGGACTCCCGTGGGGAGAGGCAGAGTTTTGCTAATAGCAGCCTTGTGGAGGTGGCTCAGGCAAGTCTGAACCAGTAGGAAAAGGAGAAGTATGGAAGAGGCTGCATTCTGGAATGGGCAGATGGACAGTCAAGATAAAGAAAGAGGTTAAAAAAGAAAAAAATAGGCCAACATTAAGATCTGGCTGAACCATTAGCTAGGAAAAGAAGAAGTCAAGCACAAGCATAAATACCTAAAAATATTTAGCTCTGCTGTGCAGGTTCCAGGAACAGTATAGGGGTATAGACCAACTATAGTTGGGGAGGGAGCAAAACCTAGGAGGAAGGAGCATCTGTGCTACAGGGACAAGAGTGGCGGGCACTTGATGAGTGCTAGCAATCAACTGGTGTTCTGAGGACTTTGTATTTATCCCATTAGGCCCTCCCAAGAACCCTATGAAATGGGTACTATCATCCCCATTTTACAGATAAGGAAATGGCACAGATGAGGGGCAAAGGGGTTGAAAAACTTATCCAAGGTCACAGAGGCCAGGTTTGGAGGTGAAGAGATGAGAAATAGCAATTAAGTGAAGAGAGGGTAGAAATAAGATAGAAAGAGAAGGGGAAGGCAGGAAGGTCATAGAATGTCATGGCTAAGAGTAGGGATCTTTGAACTGATTCTTGAATCCCAGACTCTACTACTTTTTAACTATGGGGACATGAGCAAGCTACTCCGCTTCTCTGTGCCTCGGGTTCTTCAAGTTCCTTCATCTTGATATGGAGCTGACAGCAGCACCTGCCTTACTGGACTGTTATAAGGATGGAGTGAAATAACACATGGAGAGTACTCAGATGAGCACTTGCCAATAAGTGCTCGATAAATGTTTGGTTTTTGTTTCTCTAGAATCCATCTGGGCTACCCACCAAGATGGGTTGCAAAAACCACATTTGGGATCTGATTATCTCCTTTGTTTCCTAGCAATATGAAATCACTTCCTCCCCCAGTTTATGGTCAATTGATTATTGACAAAGTTGCCAAGACCATTCAGTGGGGAGAGAATGGTTTTTAGACAAATGGTGCCAGGATAACTGTATATCCACATACAAAAACATGAGGACCCCTCTCCCACCAAAGACAAAAACTAGCCAAAAATAGATCCTAGACCTAAATGTGAGAACTAAAACTATAACATTCTTAGAAGAGAACAAAGGTATAAATCTCTATGACCTTGCGTTAGACAGGGGTGTTTTAGATAGGGCACCAAGCAACAACAGAAAAAAGAGTTAAAATGGGCTTCACAATGTCAAACTTTTGTGCTGCAAGTGACACGACCAAGGATGTAAGAAGACAACCTACAGAATGGGAGAAAAAAATTTGCTAACTATATATCTGAAAAGAGGCTTCTATCTAGAGCATTTAAAGAACTCTTCCAACCTAGTAATAAAAAAGACAACCCAATTAAAAATGGGCAAAAGAGTCAAACTTTTATCTAAAGAAGATATAAAAAGAGCCAAGAAGCACACAGAAAGATGCTCAACATCATCAACCATCAGGAAATGCAAACCAAAACCATAATTAGACACCACTTCCCGTCTCAGGATAGCGATATTCAAAAAGACAGACAATAACAAGTGTCAGTGAGGACGTGGAGAAATTGGAGCCCTCATACGCTGCTGGTGGGAATGGAAGAGGGGGCAGGCACTTGGGAACAGCAGTTTGGCTGTTCCTCAAACCTAAACAGAAGCTACCGTGTGACCCAGCAATTCCACCACGAGGTATATTCCCAAGAGAAATGTACATCTACACAAATACATGTACCTGAATGTCCCTGGCACCATCATTCATAATAGCCCAAAAGAGAGAACAACCCAAATGTCCACCAACTGATGAATAGACCAACAAAATGCAGTACATTCATAGACCTGGAATATTATTTGGCCATACAAGTGAATGAAGTACCGACATGCTCCATGGTTGAATTTGAAAATATTATGCTAGGTGAAAGAAGTCACCATATATTATGTGATTCCATTTCTATGCAATGCCCAGAATAGGCAAATCTTAGAGACGGAGAGTAGATCAGTGGTTGACTAGGTTGGGGAAGGGATAGATGAGAAGTGACTCACTCACAGGTACTGGGCTCCTTTTTGGGGGCGATGAAAATGTTCTACACTTAGATTGCGGTGATGCTTGCACACTCTGGGAGTATACCAAACCCCCCAAGTTATACACTTCACATAGGGAAATTTAATCGTGTCTGAATTCGATCTCAATAAAGGTATTTTAAAAACCACTCCTTATGGGGCTCCTGGGTGGCTCAGTCGTTAAGCGTCTGCCTTCGGCTCAGCTCATGATCCCAGGGTCCTGGGATCGAGCCCCGCATCGGGCTCCACTCGGGCTCCCCGCTCCGTGGGAAGCCTGCTTCTCCCTCTCCCACTCCCCCTGCTTGTGTTCCCTCTCTCGCTGTGTCTCTCGCTGTCAAATAAATAAATAAAATCTTAAGAAAAAAACACTCCTTGGGGTGCCTGGGTGCCTCACAGTCTGTTAAGTGTCTGCCTTCAGCTGAGGTCATGATCTCGGGGTCTTGGGATCGAGCCCTGCATTGGGCTCCCTGCTCAGTGGGAAGCCTGCTTCTCCCTCTGCCTGCCCGTTCTCCCTGCTTGTGCACGCTCTCTCTCTCTCTGTCTAATAAATAAATAAAATCTTTAAATAACAACAACAACAACAACCACTTCTTCCCAGACAGTAAGCCCGGAGTGGACAGCTTCCTCCTCATTCACGTCTGTATTTCTTTCAGGTTGATTACGTGGTCCCTGTGGATGATGAAGATGAGAACTACATTCACCCCACAGAAGACAGTTCATTTCCAGCTGAAAAAGGCAAGAGTTTGTAGTTTTGAGCACCTGAAAATTGTAGCAGTTGAGGGAGGGGCACAGGAGACTATTGGGTAGCAAGCAGCAGGGGGCACACAAAGTCCGGGCCCCCCTTCTCCCATCTGCCTCCCTGGCGAGGGGTGGGGGGGCAGAGCATCCATGCAGACCCATCTCAGTCACACCCTTCACACCCTTCTTCCTCCAGCCCCTCCCGTGCTTTAATACTCCCATCTCAAGTTCGGAAAGCATCTAGGTTCTTATTTAACTGTCCTCACTTAGGATGGATTTCTCATAAAACTTAATCCTCACAAAGCCATAGGCCACCGTGTTGGCCTCAAAACTATTGCATCGGAACAATGTCCACAGAGGACGGAAGACATGAGGGAGTGAAAGCCTCTCTGTGTCCTGGCTCTTTAAATGTAGTGCTCTCTCAGGCGAAGGGAGACACCTGTTGGTAAAGCCCTTCGAGGAATAACAAATGTGATGGTGAATGATCTCTAAAAGCCACGTACCCTCAAGCCGGGAGTGGAGCAGGGCATGTTCACTCTGGATCAGGTTGCTGTGGACACTAGGATCCTGTGGAAAGGATACCTCTTCAAGTAACGTTCGTCATCTCACAAACTCGACTCTGAAGTAGTCATACTCCGTTTTTCCTCTGCCGTTCTGTAGCAGCCCTCTCCTGGCCTCCCCAGATAGCACCAGCAGCTTCAAGACCCACCTGAATTCCTCAGCCACCCATCACCGTGAAACCATAAATAGGCATTAAATTGCTCCCCACTCCGAAACCCCAGAAAATCCAAGAGAAATGCTGTGTGTTGCATGTGGCAGGAGAGATGGGAATTTGGTCCCTCCACTATTGGTTCGATATACTTCTCCTGATGAGGAAAACAAAAACTCTTTCATCTCCTGGACCGCCAGTTTGGCCAGTGAAATTCCAAGCCTGCGTTCACTTTAACAAAATCCCTATCATAAAATAATCTGATTATCCCTTTAATCAAAGACGTTTCTTCTGAGAAGACTTCTTTCATGGCTTATGTATTTAACAAGTGTCTTTCCCATTCTTTACAAATTCCCTGCTCTGACCCCATTGTTCCCACGATGCATTTTTTTGTAAGTGTGAATCTCCCACAATGAACTGTATCTATGATTGTTATATGTATGTATGTTTGTGTGTTTAAGCTCCCATGGTGAATAGATCCATCAAGCCAAATAACTCCTCAAAGCCAGCCCCTCCTCCAGGGACAGCTTCAGGTAAAGTACATGCATGATTTGGTGTTTGGGTTTTGTGTGTGTGAAATGATTATGTTTGGGGGCTTGGTTTTTCAGTCTTTTCCAAATAAGATAAACAACTCAGACCAAATATTAAGAATCACTTGTCTTTCCAAATTTCTTAATAAGTTGTGACAAAAGGTCTTGTCCTCCTCCATTTTCTGGTGGCCACTATGTTGAGGGACCCTGCGCCGCCCACCCCCCAGACCCCTGGGCCTCTGTTAGCCAAGTCCTGGTTTTTCTCCTACCTCACTTGGCACTTTGCTGGCTTCTCCTCCTTTGCCCCTGCGCGGACTGAGGATGTCTGCACCATTTGGCCCTCAGCCCTCCATTCCTTTCAGAATAGTGTGGTGGTTAAGAGCTTGAGTTTTGGACCAGACAGACCTGGGTTGGAATCCCAGTGCTCCCAGTTGCCAGCTGTACCACTCTGGGCCATCCTTTGCCTCTCCACTCTCCAGATTTTCTCCTCTGTACATGGAGATAAGAGTCCCTGCCCTGTGACAGGAGAATTCTGGAATTGTGCATGGGAAAGCTTTCATGCGTGCCTAGCACAGCAAATGCTCAGGAAAGAATATTATCTTTCACGTCTTTGGGGTTCATCCATTTTTCTGGTTTCACTTCTCTTGTCTAAACCAATAACTTCCTGGTGTCCAGCTTTTGACCTGATTTTTCTTCTGAACCACTTGACATTCCCATGGCCTCACGCTCAATGCATTCACGGCCTCCCTCCGTGTAGGGTGGACCTAGCCCTCTGCCTGTTAGCCTGCAGGCCACATGTCTGAGGGCCTGGGTTTTTTCCAAAGCCTCTGCTATATCTTTTCCCAGAATCCGCGCTTCCATTTTAGTTGTGACCACCCTGGTCTATTACATTGTCACTTCACACCTCCTATCTCCTGTCTTCGAGAGTCCACTAGCCATACCCTTGCCTCTAGGCTTTCTCCTCCGTCACGAAGATGAGCTTCTGAAAGCCTCCAAATGTTGCCAGTTTTATTCCACTTCAAAGTTAGTTTTACCATGTCACCCGTACCCAAACCATGCACCCCATGGTTCCTAGTTGTCTGCTGTACAGATTGGCAGCCCCAAGGCCAAGGCCTGCGATGCTGGGTGGTGCCCACACCCCACCCTGTTCCAGCAGAGAGGGGCAGGGGCCTCCTCTCCAGCCTTCCCTCCTTCTTCCCCCACTCAGCCCATATCACACACACACACACACACACACACACACACACACACACACTCCCTTTCCTCCCAGCACTGAAGGCTGAACACAGATATTGGGAGACTGAGCTCTGCTTTGAGGGACATGCTCCTCGAGAGATAATGAAAGAAAATTATTTTCTTTATAGACCACAGACTCATTTCCCGAAAAATTGTTCACCTTCCTCACAAGTTCTTGTCTTATTTATTCTCTCCCCCCAAACCCACAGGCTCTTTATGTGTGGGGGGAAGAGGTCAGAGCCACCTTTTCCAGCTCATCTTAACTTCTGGGAACACATGTCAACACAACAACCTAAAAGGTCATGGCAAGGTTGCTTTGGTCCCAGCCGGAGTGGTGACGCCTGACTCCTGATAACAAGGGAGAAGGGTTGTTATGACCAGAACAGAAAACCTTTCCCTGAAACGTACATGAAGGCCTAAGCCCTCCTTTAGAATGATAGCTTAATAATCTCTGGTGTTTGCCTTTTCAAGTGTTCTTCTTACTTTGCAAGGACCTCTTCTTTGTAAAACACCCCCGCTATTCCAATCAGCTGTTCATCACGGGTTGTGCCTTGTGGTCTTTGTTTATGTTCTCACTTTTATGACACCAAACCCTACCCATCCTCAGGGCCCAGCTTGAGGTCTCCCCTCTAGGAAACCTCCTGTGTTTTCTGTAGCCCACAGAGAGCTCTCCTTTGCTCTAAGTCTCGTCCCACCTACGCTCAGCCCATACCTATTCTCTGATTATGCTGGGTCTCAGTCTAATCTCCTTAAGTACATTACAAGCTCCTTGAAGATGTTGCCTTAAATCTCACGTGTTCAGGAGGCCTTTCCTGACTGCACATAGGGGTGGATCCCTTTGGTGTGCATCCCTGTAGTACCCACACTGCCCCTTTAATCTCCCCTGAGATCTCTGCCTGTCGTTCCTGTAAGACCCTCAGCTCCAGGTCTTGCTAATAGCTGTGTTTCCAGGGCCTAGACAGGACCTGGATCAGAGTAGGTGCTGAAATGGTGATTTAGTCAGTTGGTTGAGAGTGAATGAGTCCCCCAGTACTGGCTGTATTTAAGGAATCACGTGGCACCACCATGAAGGCATTAGCCCATTGGATTTATTATTCATTGATTGTCTATTAATCTAGCATAGCTATATTTTTTATTATTATTATTTTTTATTGTTATGTTAATCCCCATACATTACATCATTAGTTTTAGATGTAGTGTTGCATGATTCATTGTTTGTGCATAACACCCAGTGCTCCATGCAGAACGTGCCCTCTTTAATACCCATCACTGGGCTGACCCATCCTCCCACCCCCCTCCCCTCTAGAACCCTCAGTTTGTTTTTCAGAGTTCATCATGAACTCTGAAAAACAAACTAGCGTAGCTATATTTTAATACTAGAGGCATCAGAAGGAACCAAACCTGAACAAGAAAATAATTTCCTGGTTATGTGATTGTTGGATACAGATGGGAGGAAGTACAGGAGGAGGGAGGAAGTGAGATAATTTGGAAGGGACAAACCTGAACAGTTAGAATGAGTTTCTGAGTGTGCAGTTTTCAGAGATGATTTTGATAAAAGGAATAATCAGACTCCTTGCCTGTGTCTTTGTATAACCATCTACTAGCCTTTAAAGACTTAGACGGTGCCTGGATAGGCATCATGGAAGTGCTAAGGCTTCCGGTCGATGTTCCTGTCCGAGCAGTGCACCTGGGCACCAGCCTCTGGTTAATGGATGTTGCCTTTGGCTCTTTGACGGCTCATAGGGTGCTTGCCGACTATTACACAGTGGATTAGGTGCAGGGGCGGCCTCTGCCTGTGCTCCGTGCTCCACATGGAGAAGGGCAGTTGCAGGACCGCACGGACTCCAAAGCCAGAGGGCTTGGCTCTGACGTGCGCTAGGTGCCAGGCTCCAAACAGGCTGAGCGATCTCTACGTGTCTTAGTCTCCTCCTCTGAAAACATGGAGAAAAAGTGGCACCTGGTCCTTGGAAGGGAGGGGGTTAAGTTGAGTAAACATATAGGAATCCCACTCCTAGAGTGATAGCTCTTTGTGCCGTTATTCCGAATCCTTTGTTTTGTGCGCCTTGATTCATGGCCAGTCTGGCAGAGGGCCCTGGACACATCTCAGGGGACAGTTGTGTCTTCCTTTCTGCATAGAGTTTTACCCTAACTCAGGGTGTCTCGACCTCCGCACAACTGGCATTTGGGGCTCGATAAGTCTTTGTTGTCCCCTCTGTCCTGTGCACTGTGCGATGTTTAGTAGCATCCTTGGGTGCTTCTGCCCACTAGGTGCCAATACCAACCCCTCTCCAGTAACGATAAGCAGAGATGTCTCCAGACATCGCCAAATGACCCCCGGGGGGGGTGGGTGGTACAAAATACTCCCAGTTAAAAACCACTGGTCTAAACAAACTGAAAGACTGAAGTGTTTTGGTGATTTATCTCTAAATGTGATTTGGAAGTAAGCTCGTGCAGCCCCTGGCTGATTTATTTGTAGCTTTTGTCAGAAGAGGTAGACAGGGCATGCATTTCTCAACTTCCTCTAAGTAGGTAGCCTTTAGAAAGTGTTCTCTCTCCTTATTTCCTAAAATGGGGGAGGAGTTTGGGAATTTATAATTCCCTGCCAGCCTACAAGTTGAGTTTTACCTATAAGCCAAATTGTTCTGAAGCTGTTGAATTAAATCTCTTTATTTGGTAAGAGCTCACACAGTGCCTGAGAGTAAGGGATGCCCCAGCTGGTGCGCAAGCCCCAATAATAATAGAGTTTCTAGAAGACAGTGAAATCCCAAGGGCTTACTATGCCAACATTGAGATTGTTAAGGATAAGGAAACTTAACCAACATTGTATGTAAAACTGAAGAGAGGATGATGCATACAATACATGTGATAGAAGGAAAAACGAAGAGTAGGTCGTTTTCCTAGTTGAGAAACTTCAGTAAGCACCAGTTGTGCAAACATTAACATCATTTTTTGCTCAATACAATTAAAATAAAGCCGACTTTTCTTTTATTATTCTTTTGGACACGTCTCTATCGCATTCCCAATTTCTCCTTTGGAGTATTCCAGCCAAGAATTTGGCTTTGCCAGAAAGCAAGGATCCTGGTCACCAAGAGGGGACCAGGTTGTCCTACCTCAGCCGTGCGCCTGGGTCTAACTTTAGGCCCAGAGCAGCAGAGAGGGTCACCGGCCTATGAGGTAAGAGAGTCATTCTCCATCTTCCCATGGGCATCCACAAAAGCCCGCCTCTCTTTCACTAATCTTTCCCCATACAAGGGAGAAACAGCAAGTGAATCTGACCTGCCAAATCACGCCCCAGAGTAACATTAGGAGGCATTGGCTGGAGAGGAAATTGTCCACCTGGCTTTAAACTCAGCTAGCCTTGCTGTTCAAACCCAGCCCTGCCACTTAACCTCTCTGAGCCTCCGTTTGCTCCACATGCTGTGAGGTGAGGCTTGCTGATGGCACATTTAAAGTACCCGGCATAGAGCCCAGCACCTGGAGACACTGCGATGGTTGATAACAAGATGCTAAAATAAAAATAGCGATAATCACATTTACCGAGATCCTTTATGAGTTATAATTTACATATCATAAAGCTCACTCGTTTTACATGTATAATGCAGTATTTTTTATAAATCATTACATTTACAGAGGTTTTTTGCACCATCACTACAATCCAGTTTTAGAAAATTTCCATGCCCACCCCAAATCCAAAAGATCCTTTATGCCCGTTTTTGGTGAATGTTCTTCCCACCCCCAGCCCTAGGCAACCGCTGATCTGCTTCCGGTTGCTATAAATTTGCCTTTTCTGGACATCTCATATAGATGGAAGCATACAGTATAAAGCCTTCTCCATCTGGCTCTTTTCTTTAGCGTAATGTTTTTAACCTCAAATACTTTCAGTCCCTTTCCAGCAGTATTAGTTTATATTTGGCTAATTCTTTACATTTTCAAAGTTCTCCTGCTGTCTTGCAGCAATAACTCTGAGTTAGGTAAGGTAGGTGGTTGTGTCCCCATTTCACAGAGGGAAACACTGAAGCACAGTGGCTTCTAAGAGGCCACCAGCCAGTTTGGTGGCAAAGAAGTAACTAGAACCCCATCTTTCTGACCAGAGACCATGGGTTTTCCACTGGTGCTTGGATTACCACCACAGAGGGAGCGGCGTGCCCCTCCCTCTGATCGCAGAAGTGATTTATGAGCAAGGAAGGGGGAAGGAACATGTTGGCAGACTAAAGATATGAAGGGAAGGGAAGCTTAGTAGAGAAGCCAGGCAGTAAATATGACAACAGCAATGTACCCAGGCCAGATGAGCCCGTGGAACTGAAAAAGAGGGAAAACCCCTGGGAGGAAATTCTGACTTAGGCCTTCTTTCTACTTCCTTATTTTTCAGACAAGGGTGGGTTTTTTTTCCCCCTTCCCTGAGATCTCCATCAAAATCTATGAATAGCCAGAGGTATTTTAATAGGGTCAATCAGGTATTAAGAATTCGAAGAACATGGGCGCCTGGGTGGCTCAGTCGTTAAGCGTCTGCCTTCGGCTCAGGTCATGATCCTGGAGTCCCGGGATCGAGTCCCGCATCGGGCTCCCTGCT